TTAACACCATATATATCTCATTATAGTTTTAACCTGTTAGCATACACTCGAGGAGGACATGGAGCAAGACCAAGGTGGGCTATGGCCTGGGGAGAAGAGGTGTGGCCTGGGAGAAGTCCTAGGACAGTTCCAGACTGTCGCTGTTTTGGGGTGGGATTCAGCCACACAGTAAACTCAGTTTGTACGACTACAGTTGATTGGGAGGTTTTGCAAACCCGCCTTTCAAAAAGTTCAGGTGTTTGGACTAAGGAAAGTTGCAGGAAAATAGACGGGGGGGGGGGAGATAACAGTTGTTTTTGATGCAATGTCATCTAACTTCCCCAAAAATAATAAGAATGAGGTAAAAGTAAAGGACTTCTGGACTGTTAAGTCTAGTCAAAGGCAACTATGGGGTACGGCGCTCATCTCGCTTTTTAGGCTGAGGGAGCCGGTGTTTGTCCACAGACAGCTTTCTGGGTGATGTGGCCCTTGAAGCTGACTCCAGCGGTGCGGGAAACTCCAGCGGGTGCAGAATGCCGCGGTGAGACTCTTTATGGGGTCCTCACCGCGGGATCACATTCATTCAGTGCTTTACCAGCTGCACTGGCTCCCAGTAGAGTACAGGGTCAGGTTTAAGGTGCTGGTTTTGACCTTTAAAGCCCTATGCGGCCTAGGACCCTCGTACCTACAGGACCGCCTCTCCTGGTATGCCCCGTGTAAGACCTTAAGGTCCATAAATAATAACACTTTAGAAGTCCCAAGCCCCAAGGAGGTTAGATTGGCCTCAACCAGGGCCAGGGCCTTTTCAGTTCTGGCCCCGGCCTGGTGGAACGCCCTACCGCAGGAGATCAGGGCCCTATGGGATTTGACATCTTTCCACAGGGCCTGCAAGATGGAGCTGTTCCGCCTGGCCTTTGGGCTGGACTCAGTCTAACCCCCACTCTCTCTCTCTCTTTTTTGTATGGAACCCCTTATATGGGATTTTGTATATAAGTTTTCCCTTGGCTCTTTTTGCTGGCCCATGTAGGACCAGCATGGATAGTTGGCCCCAGGGAATATTTGATGTTTTCTCCCCTTATGCCTTTGATCTATGGGCTACCACTAAAACGAGGCTGCATTTTAAGCTGCATTCTAACTTATATTTTAATCAACTTTGTTTGGTGTTTTTTTTAAAATGTTTTTACTGTATTTATATTCAGTGTTAGCTGCCCTGAGCCCGGTCTTAGCTGGGGATGGCAGGGTATAAATAAAAATTTATTATTATTATTATTAAACTGCTTCTGGCACACGGAGGACTGTGACGAGTGCCAGAGCATGCAGAGACGCCATTTACCTACCCACCACAGTGGTACCTATTTATCTACTTGCACTGGCATGTTTTCAAACTGCTAGGTTGGCAGGAGCTGGGACAGAGCAATGGGAGCTCACCCCGTCATGGGGATTCGAACTGCCGACCTTCCAATTGGCAAGCCCAAGAGGCTCAGTGGTTTAGACCACAGCGTCACCCACTCCCTTTAATAAGAATGAATGCTCATTAAACAGCCAGCATCATATCACCTCCTTGCAGCCCAATCAGGATGAATGTTCAATAGCCAGGTCATCCAAAGTGGTTCCAAATGCCAGGTAGAGAGGCTGGGTACCAGAATGGGCCTCCAGGCTAAGGACTAAGCTGCTGGACTTTCTTTGTACTAAAGGAAAGATTTGTCCACATTTATATTCCTCCTGCCCTGTATTTACAGAGAAACCTTACTTATTCGGTTGGAGGCTGCCAAAGAAGCCAAGGACGGTGTTAGAATGCAGGTGTTGTACAAGATGGTAGACAAGCTAGATGCTCACCAGAAAAGAGTTATGGGGCACTGGACTGTTAAACAGATGATGGCAGAGAAGCAGCGTCGGCGCTGCCTTCAAAGGATGATTGCCTTGTTTGCTCAGGTGAGCCTAAGAGAATGAAGGGTTCACAACTCAGAGCTGGTGTCTTACTTTCACCCCATGTCAGGATGAGTTTCTCTTACTGTCTTTTTTCATTTCAATCTTTACAGAGAGAGGCTATAGAACCCAGCCTCTTGGATAATGGCATTGTCCCAAATGAATCTCCACACACACACCCCGTCTCTCCCACTTCCTTATTCATCATCACCATCACCTCCTCTACGGGTGCTGCTATGTGCCCTCTGTCTTTGAGCTCTTTGCTCTCCTACTTTTAAGGCCCGCCATGTTCTAGGAGATGGAGGGTTTGGAATGCTTTCTAATGACAATGTGTCAGCCGGGTGTTCTGGCTCTCCCATGATTTTCCAGCTTCCCCCCTCATCTGCCTCTGAGCTGCAACCTCCCTCAACCCCTTGTTGTAAATCTATACTGTCTTCCTCTTCCTCTTCTTTGGAAGTGTCAGGTTGGGAAGGTGGTCTCCACCATTTCTCCTCTGCCTAGTCCCTGACACCCCGGGGATGATGACCCTCGTAGTAAATTTCCTATCCCTTGTGAGCAACTCACTGCATGAATCGTGAGTTTCGTCACCCAATCTGCATCAGTAGTGGACAGTGGCAGCAGGGGTAAGGATACTCACTGTGTGATGATGGCTCCCACTCACAGGGGGGCGGGGAGTTTCTGCTTTGTGATACAGTCACAGTGGGCTTGGGAAACTCACTATGTATATGCTGGAAAATCAGAGTCTATAATTTGGGCATGGGGAATTGCTGTTCTGTGCACACCAACTTTCCACTAAAAGTCACAGGGGGGAAAATATACCTCCTTGGTGAGTGCATGAACCCACAGTTCAGTCTTTGGTCTGAAACAAATCTTATTCTCTATCCCGCATACAAGGTGAAAGGTAGGGCTGAGTGATATATTGAGATATCATCCAAAACTGGTTTGAAATCCATATCGTGATATTGGTTTCATAGTTTTCGACTTGGTAATATATCACAAATCATGGGGTGGGTGGCTGGGTGTGTGCTATGCAGAAATCACAATGTGGGGGAAACCGTGAAGCCAGCTAACGCTTCTCTCGAATCCTGCAGCCCGTGTTAAGTCTGCCAGCTTAACTCTCCCCTGCCTCCTGCAGTGGGCAGTGAATCACAAGAGCAGATGCAGGCAAAAATCATGCCCATCTCAAAAATCATGAAAAACCGTGAAGCCAGTCAATCCCTCTACATAGCTCCATTCTTATTTCAGGCATCGTGGTATATCATGATGTTTAGCTGGTGATATATCACAATGTTGAAAACAGTGGGAATGTTCAGGGATGCAGGAGATGATATATTGTCTGATTACAGCCTTTCTAACTTGTGCTAACAAGTTCACAATTTAGCAGAGTAACATTCCCGTTTTTAAACTTGCAGTGGATGCATTTGCTCAGGCTCG